AAAGTAAGGGCGTTAGTTGGTAAAGAATGGAACCCTATAACTTGGATGGAGATGTGTGACAGGACCCTACTGAGTCTGAAAACACTGAACCTTCAGATTCTCAACGTTTATCTCATCTGAGGAAGAAGTTTCTCTACCCTCAGCAAAAGATGCATCCCTACCCCAACTCCTTTCTGGAAACACTGCCTTTTCTGCCTTTGCCTGAGGAAATCAATTCTTCACTGTCAGCTAAACCATCCATGACTTTCCCTGAAAGAAATGCCAGACAAGAGAATACTAACGTCCCCCAGGGGCCACCAACAGTTGCTCTAGACCTATAACCAGACTTAAGGCAGGCAGGCTCCTAGATGGGAGATAGAAATGTAGTCCATGGGGAGGTGTGCTATGCTACTAAAGAGCTTGATGAGTCTGCTAATTCAGTCAAGCAGAGATCTGGGGACTATGTGTGGGAATGGATTATAAGGGTGTGGGATATTAGTGGAAGGAACATAAAACTGGATTTTGGGGGTGAGTAGGTGGAGAAATGGCTTAGGAGTATAGAGCACTGACTGCTCTTCCAGAGGATCCCAGAATCCACATGGCAGCTTACAACTGTAACTCACACATGTGGTACACACACACACACACACACACACACACACACACACACACACACATATACAGGCAAAACAAAACACCAATATACATAAAATAAATTTTTAAAAAACTGGATCAGGCTGAGTTTATTGATGTGGGACTTCTGAGTGGAGATTCTAGGTTTAATATGGAAGCCTGCACAGTTACAGCAGGCATTGATAGCACACACCTTTAATCCCAGCACTCAGGAGGCAGAGGCAGGCAGATCGCTTGAATTTGAGGCCAGTCTAGCCTACAGAGTGAGTTCCAGGACAGCCAGGGCTACACAGAGAAACACTGTCTCAAGAAACAAAACAAAACAAGGTGTTTTGGTAGTTTAAATAAGGATGGCCTCCATGGGCTCATATATTTGAATGCGTAGCCCCCGGTTGGTAAACTGTCTGAGAAGGATTAGGAGGTGTGGCCTTGTTGGAGGAGATGTGTCACTGGGGGAGGGCTTGGAGGTTTCAAAAGCCTAAGTCAGGCCAGCATGTCATATTCTATCCCTCTTTGCGCTCCCCCACCTGCCTGTGGATAAGGATGAAGTAGCTCTCAGTTACTTCTCCAGCATCATGCTCCCTGCCATGATGATAATGGACTCACCCTCTGAAACAGTAAATGCTTCCTTTTATAAGAGCTGCCTTGGTCACGGTGTCCCTTCACAGCAATGGAACAGTGTCTACATTACCTTTACATATATTCACTCTACCAGTTCTGTTCCTTTAGAGAACCCTGACTAAAGCTACATAACAGGATGGAGACTCAGGACATGCCAGCTCAGGAATGGGGACTGGGGATGGAGACACGGATGGGCACGGGCAATGGGAAGGATGGAGAGATAAGGAAATGAAGCTGGGACCCACAGGACAGCCCGGGGGTTCTGTCACCTTTTGGCCACTGAGTCTGCAAGCTCAGAACACAATTTGGAGAAAGGAAATTAACTTGAGAATAGGTGTGAGGCAGGAAGGTAGAATGTTCATAAAGAAAAAATTAGGACAGGGCCAAGAGCACCCAGGTGACATGGGCCAGGGGTAAGTGGGGAAGAAGGGGGAGCCTGCAGGGTAAGAGTCCCCACAAAGAGTGCACTTGGGGAGGGACGGGAAGGCACAGCATGTATGCAGCAGAATGTGACTAGAAAAGGAGCAGCCCACAGACCAAGACAGGGCTGGGGGTGCTGGCCACAGAGAAAGTATCCAATAGGCTTGGGACAGTAGCCAAGGCCTGTGACCAGGACAGGAACAGGGAAGACTGAACTTGAATCATTTAAGGCTACTCAGAAATGGATACCTGCTACAGAGCCAGAACCTGCCCAGCTTCAATGATGGGCTGGTCCCTGGTACCTGCCCTACACCGTGGTACATCCTTATCTGTAATATGGGAAGCCGAGGAAAAAAGCCGTCATTTACATTTATTGAGCTCTTACTGTGCACTGAGTCAAGGGCTCTCTCCCCATGGATTTCCTCGTTTAATTCTTAGAATGGTTTCACCTGGCTCACATTATTATTGTCCCCATTTTACAGATCACAAAACAAAGCAGATGAGAACAAAGAAGTACATCACACTGAGAATGACAGCAGGAGCTGGAGAGACAGCTCAGCAGTCAAGAGCTTGCTGCTCTTGCAGAGGCCTCAGGCTCCCAGTACCCACACAGTGGCTCACAAGTGTCTGTAACTTCAGCTCCAGGGGATCTGACACCTCTGGCTTCCGAGGCCATCTGCACTCATGTGCACATATCCACATGTAGGCACACACACACACACACACACACACACACACACACACATCTACATATAATTAAAAATAATAATTTTTTAAAACGGGGCTGGCAAGATGGCTTAGTGGTTAAGAACACTGGTTGCTCTTCCAGAGGACCCAAGTTCCATTCCCAGTACCCACACACCATCTAAAATCTGTAACTCCAGTTTCAGGAGATCTGTCACCCTCTTCTGGTCACCTCAGGCACTGCACACATGGTGATAGGTATACTCCCAGGCAAAACACCCATACACATAAAATTGAAAATAAGAAACTGAATGCAGACGGTGAAATTCAAACCCAGAACTTGAACTCTTGGCCTTAACATCATGCTGCGAAGCCATACAAGGCACTTTACAGTTTGTAGAGCATTTACATTACTTCACAGTGTCACTGAGGGGAATAATGAAACAACACACACCCAGAAAATTGCTGAGGTTACCACACGTGGTCAGACTGGTTATTGGCCCTCCAGAGATGTCCACATCCTAAGCCCCAGCATATGAGCATGCTACTTTACATGTCAATGGGATTTTCAGATGGACTGAATTCTGAGATGGGGGGAGGATGACCCTGTATACCTAGGAAGCCCACATGAGCAGCAGGAGGTCTAGGTAAAGAGATGCAATGGTACAAGCAGAGAGGTAGAAAGGTTAGCTGGGGTTGAGGAGAGGACAAGTCACAGGTTGAATCCATTCCTGAGTCCACGTAGCTTCTAGAAGCTGAAAAAGCCAAGGAAAGGGATTTTCCTTGACAGCCTACCGCAGGAACCAGCCCTGCAGGCACCCTGACGCTGGCCCAGTGACACCAAGTCTGGACTTCTAACCTTCAGAATGATGGCATTATGAGTCTGTGGAGGTCATTTGTTTCCACAACAACAGGAGCGCATCCGACCACATGCCTGCAGTGGCCTTCCCAGCCAGCCCTGGCCCCACTACTACTACAGCGGACACGCTGACATTTTAAATGGTTCTTCCCTAAACCTCACTCTCCTTTTGATAAGAATTAACACAGGGCTACCTCATCTGACCTGCTTCTCTGACAAGTATGGCCTGAGAAGTGCTTGTATGGTTGAAGTTTCTCACTGGGCACTGGCCGGGAGTGGGGGTGGGATGGGGTAGAGCAGGGGTGAGGCGGGGTGAGGCCTAGTTACCACCCCAGTGAACAAACAAGTCAGAGAGCACAAACAGCCTGCCTAGAGCCACACAGAGAGTGACAGAGGAGCTCACAATCCTCCTGCCTCAGCACCATGCCCAGCCCTACTTGTTTACTCATTCATGGCTTAGTGTGTTCCCAGTGTTAAGTCCTGGAGATGCCTACAGCCTAAAAGACAGAAATCCAGACCCGTGGTCCAAAACAGCCTGACAAATGCTAAGACAAAGGGAAGGACGTGTAAAGGACTGTGGGAACTCAAAGGAGATGATGTTGATGGAGCCTAGAATCAGGGAAGGCATCTAGGAGGAGGTGGCAGTTGCGCAGGAGACGAGAGGACTCAGCACAGAAGTGTGGGCCTAGAGCCCCACACGGAAGGGACGGAGACACAGCGCTGCCGCGTCCTGAGGGCAGGGAAGGAGTTGGGTCCTTCCAGGCCTCTCTACCCCTCTGGGCCTCTGTTCCTGTGAGTGAAATGGGAGCTGCTGCGATATCTGCTGGGTCCCGGGGAGGGTCAAAGTTGGTGAAGAAAGGCAAGGTGGGAGTGGAAGGGAGGTGAGGTCCTGGCTCAAGCCCTCACCGCTCACCTAATCATGGTGTGAATACAGGTCATCTCAGAGCCTTGGGGACCCCGTCTGAGGACCAGAGCATGAGCCAAAACTGTCTCCAAAGACCCTCCCCAGCCTTGACAGGGAAATCACATGACACAAAATTACAAAAGGGTCTTTATTTATAAAAAGCCAAGGGGGCCCTTGGAGCGACAGGACAGGAGGCAGGCAGCTTCTCAGGGGTCAGGGGCATTTGGACAGATGCGCTTGAGTGGGGGGGCGCCCTCCGAGTCCTCTGTGTCACCCTGGGCTGCCTCAGGGACAGGTGGCACTGGCTCAAAGACAGGGTAAGCTTCAGGGGCCTGAAGAGGAAGGGCGGACAGGTGTGAGCTCCACTCTAACCCAGGAGTATAGCCTCCTAGCCTCTGCCTTTTCCACTCTATTCCCCTGGGGACCCAGAGTCTGGCCCAGGACCAAGTGACCAACAACAACGGCAACGCTGTTTGGGGGAAAGAATTGGATTTTTCGGGAAAGTGAATCAAGGTAGTCCTTGCAGGGGGAGGCATGGCAACGTCTTACGCTAACTTGACAGCTCAGGATGTGTGTCTGTGTGAGGCAGGGCCCAGGCTCTTGAGCACACTGAGGAAGGGAAGCAGCACCAAGCTGCACTCTGAGCCTAGGTTTTTGTTTTTTATCCTTAGAGGAACACCAAGATCATTTCAGGCTTCCAATGCTCTTAAATCAGCCGTGATCCAGCCCTCAGGATAGTGTCTCTAAAACAATCCTCTTCACCCAAGAGTCCAACCTCACTTAAGCCTTTCGGTGGGTTCTAGGTCCACATCTCCCTCCTGGACCCTAGAATGCAATCTCCCTGTGCCCCCAAAGCCCCATTCCCCACAAGGCCAGAGTCCAGCCTCTGGGCTCTCTCACCTCAGCTTCCAGCAATTCTGGAACAGGTTCCTCCTTGGTCAGCTTCGGGGGGTCCTCAGTACCGCCTGCGGGTGTGCCCCCTGGGTCTGGAAGGCCAAATGAACAGGTACCTGAGCAGCCACTCTGTGCCAGGAGAACAGGTCGGGGGCAAAAGAAACGGGCAGGCACCGACCACACAAGCCAACACTGCGGGAACCAGAGGAGGGCACCAAGATGCCAAGGGAGGGAGACTCACGTCGGATTTTGTTAGTAGGGAGTGAGCCACGAGACAAACTAAGGTAGCGCAGAGTTTAGGCAGAGGGAAATATCTGCTTAGTGACCACAGATTCTGTGTTGTACTAAATCCAAATCCTGACCTTAGGCAAGCTATTTCTCTGAGTCTCGGTTTAATCATCTGCAGAATGGGAACAGTGACAGTAATACCACAAGAGACTGCCATGAGGACCAAGTGAAGCAATACCGGGAAAGCCCTTAGCACACAGGAGGGGCTCAGTGAGCGCTAGCTAGCATTTTCATTCACTCATTCATTCCTTTTTGTGGTATTAGAAATGGGGCACAGGGCCTCGGGCATGTCAGACAAGCATTCTACCACTGAGCTGCACCCCCTGTCCTACCATTGACAAAAGTGTCCGGAACAATCTAGACATGGTCCTGAGGCCCCCCATGTCTCGGTGTTCTTGGCGGGGGGGACAATTTCAGCGGCCCCAGTGCCAAAGGAAAGAGCCAAAGGCCGTGCGGAGCCACTGAAGGATATGAAACAGGAAAACAATGCCTTGGAATCTGCGCTTGAGGAAAGGCTGTTCTGCAGCTGTGTGAAGGCCATTAGGGACGGGAGGCGAGGCTAGAGCAGGTACAAGTGAGAACCGAGAAGGCAGGGCCAGAGGCACAGAAATCAGCCACACTTGGGAAGTCGTACTGACCAGACAGGGGACCGACTATATGAAGGCAGAGGAGCTGAAGGGGGATCAGGCCCAAGGTGTTGGCTCACTGGCTCTGTAAGTCTGGCCATCTTTCTCTGGATGACAGGCTCCTCGTGTATAAAGAGGAATCAAAATAGGATCATCGCTCCCATAAAGTGACAGTGGAGATTGAATGAGAAAACAAACAGCAAACGTTGATGTGCTCAGAACCCTCAGCAGGGAAGGGACCATGCTAGCCGGTACTCTGCCGCGAGTAACCACGCTGATTATCAGAATTATTTATGCCCTGAACAGGTGTTTACTGAACATCTATTATGTATCCCACAGTGCGAATGAACAAGATCGGGACGGCTGACACGAGGTGGTAACAGGAAGAGACAATAAGCAAGCAAAAAGAAAATTCGCATAAACTTTTCAGACGGTGATATGCTTCCTACAAAGACTGAGGCAGCAGCTGGATGTAATTTCTGCCAGGGTCAGGGAAGGTTCTCCTCCAGGGCAGGACGGGGAGAGAGGACATGGCATAGGTACAAGGACAAGCTGGGGTCAACTTTGGAGAAGAGAGGGCTCCTGAGAGCCACCAGGGCCTACCTCTCTCTTGGCCCAGCTGTGGAGGCTGAGTATCCTCCGAAACCGCTTCTGGGGGTCCAGTAGGCGATCCAGGGCGGCTGGGCTGGGGAGTCCCCCCAGGGCTGGGCTCAGTGCCCTTTTGCAGTGAACCTTCTGAGTGGAAACTCTGGTTGCTGCTCTCATCTGCTGAAGCAAGAGCCAAGCTGGTCGGCCAGGGGGCCCCTAGCAGCTTCCTTCCCTCCCTCCCCATTCCAGGATCTGTACATACCATTGAGATCCAGCAGGATGAGGGGGCCACCCCCTCTGGGACTGGTGCCCCTGCCGCGTCTCTCCCGGCCTCGGGATCTCTCTGCCCCGCCTCCTGCCCGCCGCCTCTCCTGAGAGCGAGAGGGGTAAGGTCAGAGCCAGGGGTCTGGTGAGCACGTACAAATCCCCTCAATACAAATAAGAAAACCTGGGCTCAGAGAAGCAAGAGGTGTAGTCTCAGGTTGTGGAGGCTGAGTTTTAGGTCTTGAACTCAGAGAAGGGAGGGGGGCATGTGAGGGGTGTGTGTGTGTGTGTGTGTGTGTGTGTGTGTGTGTGTGTGTGTGTGTATGTGTGCGAGGGCTAATAATCGTTACCATCTGCCTGAGCTCCACACTGGAGTCTCCAAGCCGACTGAAGGTGGAAGCCAAGGTAGGGAGGGAACTGCCTGAGGTTGCCCAGATGCAAGGCTTGCTGGGGGTTGGGCTTGCTCACCTCCTCCTGGGGATCCACCACAGGCACCCACTTGAAGATTCGAAGGGAAGTGTCACCCACAGTCACCCAGCGCTTCTCCCTGTGGGAGGGCAGGAGACTGGTCAGAGAGGCCCCATAGAGCAGGGGGTCGGGGAGATGTGCGAGGGTAAGGGAAGCTTCGCTAACAGGGCATGGAACCAGAAAGAGACCTGCAAAGCCTAGGGCATGGACGGATTTAACTTGGAGCTGCGGTTCTGCAGACACCTGGGGCACACAGCAGGGCGCCACCAAGGCCTGGCCAGGGACTCTGGCGACGAAGACCCGGGGCCGAGCTTGCAGGAGTGTCAAAGCTTCAGGGGGCGGGGCATAGATGAGCTCCCGCTCTGGGAAAGCACCACTCCGGACCACGCTTTGTAGACCTCTGGGAATTGCCAGGGAAAGGGGGAGCCCAGTCGATTCAGAGCACAGCTGGTGGGCGGGGGCAGCGGGCCAGGAAAGGGCGGACGCGTTAGGAGGAGGTGGCTTGGCTGTGTCCCTGGCCCAGGGGCAGCGCTCACCATCTCCGGACCTTCTCGATGGTCGCCATCACCTTCTTGATGTCATCTTTGGCCCGGCTCCGGGTCTCGGCCCGCACGGTCCGGCCGGCCATGCTGGCGGGGGGCTGGGGCCGGGACAGAGCCCGTGGTGGGACGGCCTGCGGTCCGGCGATCTCAGGCTGCGCGCCAGGCCCCGGCGCCGCTCTTTCGGCCCGCCGTCCCTCCGGGAGTTGGCCGCGCCCTCCCTCGCTCCCCAACGCCTCCGCGAGTCCCCGCCTGGCTTCCTGCGACCGCGCCCCGCCCCGGCCCGTCCCCGGAGCGGCCCGGGCGGCGCGGGCGGCTAGAGCCCCGGCCTGGAAGCCCGGCCAGCCCCGCCCCGGCCCGGGCCCGCCCCTCGGGGCGCACGGACGCACAGCGCCCTCTGCCCGCCGCGGAGAGGGAGAGCTGGGGGGCAGCTGTGCGGCTGGACGCGCGCGGCCCGAGCGAGCGAGGCGGTGCGTTCCGGCCACGTGGGCACAGGGGTGCGCGAGAGGGACTGTCCTGGTGTGCGTCCGCGGCGGGTGGGCGTCCCTGAAATGCTGTGTGTGCGCGCGTCTGCCCTCTCCAGGCTGTTTTGATTCTACGCTGCTGCACAACTTAACTTGTCCATCCATCCATTCAAGTCTCATTAACAGTGCCAAGTGCGTGCCAGACTTTCGAGTGGGGAGCGGGCCTCCTCAGCCAGGACGGCGGAAGTGAAAAAGACAGACCATGTAGATGAAGTAGCAGAACAACTTGGCATTGCTTGAATCAGGGAGTGTGTAACTGGTGGAGATACTTTGGAAAACTGGCACTTTTCCAGTGAAGCTAAATGTAATGCCAACCCGGTTTCCCAGCTATTCCAGTCCCAAGCTGTCAACGCCCAACCGAAGAAATGTGTGCTGTCTGTTTTTTTTGTCTACTCGACACAAGCTAGGGTCGTCTGGGATGAGGGAACCTTGATTGAGAAAATGACTCTATCACGTTGCCCTGTAGGTACGTTTGTGGGGCATATTCTTGATTAATAATTGATGTGGGAGAGCCCAGACCACTGTGGGCAGTGCCACCCCTGAGCAGATGGGTCCTGGGTACTCTTCCTCCAGGTTCCTGTCTTGAGTTCCTGCCCTGACTTCCCTTCATGATGGACTGTAACTGTGAACCGAAATAAACTCTCTCCTCCCTACCTTGCTTTTGATCATGGTGCTTACCACAGCAGTAGAAACCTCATCAGGACAAAATGCTTCTGTGTGAACACCAAGACGTGTACTGGAGTACTGGAAAGTTTGTAGCTTTTTTTCAGGATAGCACAACCTGGGAGCAACGCCACAACAGAATGTAGTGAAAAACCAGTTACAACCTGTTTATGCCATGGACACAGACACATCAACCAAAATGACCAAAGTCCTGCTATGCCCAACAGTGGGGATACGTCTTGAATACAAGAAAGCAGTTGTGACAGCATGCATTAGATAATTCTACCATGTCAGTTCAGGAAACAAACATCCTGAGGGTGTGGGAGGTCAGGACTGTGAGCACCCTTGGGGCTGCCGGGGAGAAGAAGGGGTTTCTGGGAGCTTGTCACACTCCGTTCTTTAGTCTGTCCAGATGTACATGCATTGCAAGTGTAATGTTTCTTTTGTATATTATAGTTCGCTAAAAGTTTACTTAAAATGAAGGCTGGCGGGGGCTGGAGAGATGGCTCAGTGGTTAAGAGCACCGACTGCTCTTCTTAGAGGTCCTGAGTTCAATTCCCAGCAACCACATGGTGGCTCACAATTATCTGTAATGAGATCTGGTGCCCTCTTCTGGCCTGCAAGGACACATGCAGGTAGAATACTGTATATATAATAAATAAATAAATAAAATAATTTTTAAAAAAATGAAGGCTGGCAAGATGGCTTAGTGGGAAAGGCACTTGCCACCCCCAACCTGATGACCCGAGTTCAATAACTCAAACCCCACGTGGTAGAAGAGAACCCTGACAGATCTCTCATTTCCAGACACCTTAAACATCGTACATATGCAAAATAAATGTAGACTTTTTTTTGTTTTTTTCTTTCTTTTTTTTTTTTTTTTTTGGTTTTTCGAGACAGGGTTTCTCTGTGTAGCTTTGCGCCTTTCCTGGGACTCACTTGGTAGCCCAGGCTGGCCTCGAACTCACAGAGATCCGCCTGGCTCTGCCTCCCGAGTGCTGGGATTAAAGGCGTGCGCCACCACCGCCCGGCTTGTTTTTTTCTTTAAAAAGGTAAGACCAACCAAGTGTGCTGGCTCACACCTTTAATCCCAACACTCAGGAGGCAGAGACGGACAAATCTCTACATGTTAGAGGCCAGCCTGGTCTACATATTGAGTTCCAGCCCAGCCAAGAATACATAGTAAGACCCTGTCTCAAAAAAAGAAAGAAAGGACTGGGTGGTGGCGCACACCTTTAATCCTAGCACACAGGAGGCAGAGGCAGGCGGATCCCTGTGAGTTCAAGGCTGGCCTCTACAGAGTGAGGTCCATCCAGGACAGCCAGGGTTAAAGCCGTGAAAGCCTGTCTCAAAAGAACTAAAAGAAAGAAAATAGGGGCTGGAGAGAAGACTCGGTGGTTAGAGCACTTATTGGTTTTCCAGAGGACCCGAGTATAGACTACTCTGTACTCTTTGGGGGGCCCACCACCCACCTCCCAAATAAAGTCTTATTCTTTCTTAGGAGTGCCCGGCCTTAGCTTGGCTTGTTTCCAGCCAGCTTTTCTCACATTACCCATCTATCCTTTGCCTCTGGGCTTTTCCCTTTCTCTGTTTCTATATACCGTTCTTTCCTTCTTACTCTGTGTCTGGCTGTGTAGCTGGGTGGCTGGTCCCTTCTGATCTCCCTCCCTGATCCTCTTGTTCCTTCTTTTTCTCCTATTTATTCTCTCTGCCTGCCAGCCCCGCCTATCCTTTCTCCTGCCTCACTATTGGCCATTCAGCTCTTGATTAGACCATCAGGTGTTTTTCTTTTTGTTTGGTTTTCCGAGACAAGGTTTCTCTGTGTAATAGTCCTGGATGTCCTGGACCTAGCTCTGTAGACCAGGCTGGCCTCGAACTCACTGAGATCCACCTGCCTCTTCTGCCTTCCAAGTGCTGGGATTAAAGGCCTGCACCACCACCGCCTGGCTGACCATCAGGTGTTTTAGACAGGAAAGTAACAAAGCTTCACAGAGTTAAATAAATGCAACATAAAAGAATACAACACCTCTTTACATCATGAAACAAATGTTCCACAGCATGAACAATGTAGCACATCTTAAAATAATACTCTACAACATCCTACTTTAGTTCCCAGCACCCCATGTTGCACTGCCTGTAGATCTAGCTCCCGGGGATTCAATGCCCTCTTCTGGCCTTCCAGCAACTGCACTCAGATGCACATATGATCCCCCGACACACACACATACATGAAACAGCAATGAGTGCCTCTTGGCTGATTTTATTTGAAGTCAACCCATCAACAGCTAGGGCATGTCTTCTGTGCTGTGTGTGTGAGGGGTGCCTGCAGAGTTTTGGTGTGCTCATGTCCGCCATGTCGGACAGCATTGCTGGAACCAAACTGTAAGTGCCAAAATCTCAGCTCTGTCTCACCCACCTGCATGACTTTGGGCAAGTCATTTGTCTTTATGGCCTCATCTATAACATGGAAATAAGTTTATATATATATATATATAGCATTTAGGATAGTGTCTGGCACACAGTGAATGCTCAATGAACACTGCTGGTTAGTGTGTGGTTGTGGCCACTGCTGACAGTCTGGCTTCAAATGCACCTGTAATGTGCTCCGGTAATGAATTCCTTTGTTCTGATCGTTTGCTCATGTTAACATCCTCACACAGGCCTTTCAGTCCATGTGCTCACAAACTCCATTATCTGAAGCCAGAGCCCAAGACAGAGTAGGTGGTTGGGACCAATAGTAGAGACAAGTGTGTACAGTGCTTCCAGTGTCTCCCTGGGGCTAATGAGCTGCTGTTTGGGTGTGACCTGGCTGAAGCCTGTGCTCACCTGTGTGAGAGTCTGCGTCCGGATGCCTAAACACACATGCGTGCGAGAGAGAGAGAGAGAGAGAGAGAGAGAGAGAGAGAGAGAGAGAGAGAGAGAGAGAGAGAGTGTGTGTGTGTGTGTGTGTGTTGAGGGGTGGGGGTCTGTAACGGTAAGGTGAGGGGAAGGGCTGTCTCACTCCTGATCAGAGTGACAGAGAAAGTAGAAGGCATCTAAGACAAGAAGCGAGGCTGGGGGTGCATGCCTTAGGTGCACCCTGATCTCGAAAGGCCTGCCCTGGCTTCTCTCTTTGTCCTGACCCAGAGGGAGGACCTGAAGCGTTCCTCTCGGGTTTCCCAGCTTTCCTCTCAAAGCAGCCCTTATTGTCAAGCTCTACCTCAGGTCGGAGCCTGAGTCTCCTCCTCCCAGCAAGACACAAGAGCTGCCTTAAAGGCCCAAGTGTCCATTCACTGCGCCAACACCTGCCTCCCCACTCTGGCCCCTTCCCAGGCTAAGCCTCACAAGCGAGTTCCTGAGCTCAGGGCCAAGGAATCTTGCCTGAAAGTAGTGGTGGGAAGGAAATGTTTGGGGTCTGAGCTATGATTGGCCGAGCCCGAGCCACGCCCCTAACCCTTTCCCCCTTTTTCCCCCTCCCCTCCTCCCCTCCGGTAGGGGTGTGTTGAGGGAGACCGGGATCGGCCTGGGGCCAACATGAACCAAAGGGAGGGAAGTCTGGGTAAGGGACTGAGTGACTGGATCCTGGGTCCCTCACGGGAATAGGAGTGAGGTCGAAAGCTGGGATTTGGATCTCTGTCAACACCACCCTACCCCGGAGTCTGGGAGGGGAAAGACCTGGGCGGGGGGGGGGGGGGGGGGTGTCGGGGGAGGGAGGAGACGCCGGTGTCAGGTAACCAGCGGTTGACTGGGAGAAAGGGCAGGCGCAAGGGTTTAGAGGAGGCCTGGAGTTGAGGCTTCAGGGGCTTGGGTTCGGGGGTTAGAGCACCGAATATATGGGTGAGTACACCCTGAAGAAGGGCTGGGGTCGGGCTGGGGCAGGATAACAGTGCCTCTCAAAGTATTAGGAAAGAATCAAAGCTGAAGGACTGGAAGGAGAGGCCGAGTTAAGGAATCTTTGGTCTACGAAGGAGCTACGAGTGACAAGAGGCCAAAGTACAGCTTCTGAGATCTTGGCTGGCGGTGGGAAACTCAGACGAAAGGGGTTGTCGGGTCGGGACTACATTCCCCAGCATGCATTGGGATGCCCACGGTGTGCATCTTGGGAAATGTAGTCTTCCTTTGGCACCACCCTCTGGTTTGTACCAGGGAAGGCCCGCCTGTCATTGATACTTTGATGCTGTTGAGCCTAACATCTCACCTAGAAGCATCAGGAAGGGAATAGGCCTTCGCTTTCTCTATCTGTAGAACAGGCCGGGAAAGCGCGTTCCAATATGAGGTTCTGTGCTTCAGCGATGCTGACTGAATTCAACCAACAGTTGGAGAAATCCAAAGATATGGGAACTTTGTCCTTAAAGGGTCTCGGGTTAGCGTTGGTGGTATAGGGTGAGCATAGCTGCCTTCGAAGAAGTCTCCTGATAAAACAGATTCACAAGGATAAAAGAAGCTACCTTGGAAGTATGTATGAACAATTGTCTAAAGCGGAAGGCAGAAGCTGATTTGAGGGGAGTGAGAAGCTGGAGGCAGCCACTATGGAGGCAGCTTATGAATTTGGTCTTAATAGGATTTCAACAGTGATCTGGGGACAGGAGAGACATTTCACGCAGAGAAACTGCTTGGAACCTGGTTTTCCCTCCACTGGGATTCTTCCTAGCTTGAATGTTACCATCCAGAGCAGAACCTCGGGGTTCAGAAAGAGCCAGCTTAGGAAAGATGGTTAAGGACTAGGTTTGGGTTGCCCTCATAACCCCTCACTCCCTCCTCTTTCCCACCAGAAGACCCCCAGGCTGACTTCTCAATCTCATTCCTTCCGCATTTGGAGGCCAAGATCCGCCAGACACACAACCTTGCACGCCTCCTGGCCAAATATGCAGAGCAGCTGCTAGAGGAGTATGTGAGTAGGGGAGAGGGCTGGGCTGTGGGACGCGGAAGCACACATCACAAATGTCTTCACCTTTTCTTCCCTTCATCCCCATCAGTGGAAATCGGAGTTTCTGAGGGGACTGTTAACTTTCTTCTGGCCACACAGTAAAGCAGAGGACCCTACCAGTGGCCATGTGATACTGTGCCTCAGTTTGGAGGCTCTGTCCTCGGTGCTGGAAATCAGAGCTGGTCTGAGGAAACAAAGGGAATTCTGGGAGTCAGGAAACCTAGATTTGGGCTCAGTGTGATCTTGAGGTCTCAACTCTTAGGGCTGTAAAATGAAACAGCTGAACAATATGAACTATGACCACTTCTACCTGGACATTTAGAGAAGCCAAGAAGAGGTTTCAATCAGGGGTAAAAATTCTACTACTCATGAGGGGACTTTTACAGAGTAAAGGAACCTGCCAACCGTCCTGTCCTGGCCACATTAAAAAAAAAAAAAAAACTCCTCCAGATTACCAAGGTGTCATGGGGAAAGGCTGGTGCTTTGGTTCAGACAGACTAGGGCTGCTAACTTAAGACCTTGGGATGCGACATCAAGAAAGACTTTGACGATGCCAACAGTGGCAGCAGGTGACAGAGCCAGCTTTGTAGACCTACCACCTTTGGTCCAAATCCCAGCTCTGCTTCCCCGGTGAGGGACCTACTGCCGATCACTGTATTCAGCCCATTTCTTTTCTTTTTTTAAATTATATTCATTTATTTTATGTGGGCACACAAGTACCATGGTGTGTGAAAGTCAGGAGACAATTGAGGGACTTGGTTCTCTCTTCTAAACATGTGGATCCCAGGATCAAACTCAGGCTGGCAGGCTGGCAGCCTCTCAATGGGCCATGACTTCCTTTTGTACAAAGTCGACCTCACCATTGTCGTCCCCGTTTTTAGGAAGACACTGCATTCAAAGCAGCAACCACAAGACCTGCACCAGAGGCAAGATATTTGCAGAGGATAAACATTAATATCGGGGCATTTGACGAATCACAAGTCACCTTTGACTTCTACTTGTTCCTTCATATGGTGGCTGTCAAGTAGGGGAAGAGGCAGGGAATCTGGTGGGGTCCCTGCACGGTTTCTGTGATCCTCAAGAGACCTCTGGTAGAAAGACAGAACCGGGGACATCCCTTACTTTCACAGATGAGAAAGTAGGCTCAAGCCAAAAGAAGGGAATGGTCTTGCAAGAAGTCACAGCTAGTAAGTGCCAATAGGCGTTAACCTAGGTCTGGGACTGAAGAGGTGCCTTAACTGGTAAAGGGGCTTGCCAGGCAATTTGGTGTCCAGAGTTTGATTTCCAGACCCAACATAGAGGTGGAAGAAAACTGACTCTATAAGTCAACCTTTGACTGTCACGTGTGCAATGTGGCACACTCCTCCCCGACACATCGTACACACACGCTTTTAAAAGAAAATGGTAGGGCACACACCAGCCCTTGGAAGGCAGAGCCAGGCGGATCTCTGTGAATTTGAGGCCAGCCTGGTCTACAGAGTGAGTTCCAGGTCAGCAAAAGCTAGTGAGACCCTGTCTCAAAGTAAACAAGTAAGGTTGGGTATGGTGGCACACGACTTTAATCCCAGCACTCGGGGGGCAGAGCCAGGCAGATCTCAGTGAGTTCGAGGCCAGCCTGGTTTTCAGAGTGAGTTCCAGGCCAGGCACCAAAACTACATGGAGAAACCCTGTCTCGAAAATCAAAACAAAACAACAACAACAAAATACCCCAAAAAAAGTAATTAAAAAATAGCCAATATTTATTGAGCTTTTCCTGGGTTCTAGAGTTTGTCCGTCGGACCCTGCATGCTCCTAACTACCTTATGAAATTGATACTCTTATTAGCCGTTAGAGAAACCAAGACAGTTGTGTGCAAAGCCCATGTCAATTTTTGGTTTAATCTCAAACACAGTAGGATCTGTTATTTGCAAGATGAGGAAACTAAGGCCCCAGGAGAAGGGAGGAGGGAGGGCTGTTAAGAGTGGACGAGCCCCGATCAAGATCCCAGGAGCCCGGCTGACTGGTGACCATGTATCCCCACAGGTGCAGCAGCAGGGAGACCCCTTCGGGCTGCCGGGCTTCTCACCACCGCGGCTGGCACTGGCCGGCCTGAGTGGCCCGGCCCCGAGCCACGCGGGGCTACCGCTGTCCGAGCGGCTGCGTCTGGACGCGGCTGCCCTGGGTGCGCTGCCCGCGCTGTTGGATGCTGTGCGCCGCCGCCAGGCGGAGCTGAACCCGCGCGCCCCGCGCCTGCTGCGGAGCCTGGAGGACGCGGCCCGCCAGGCTCGGGCTCTGGGAGCCGCGGTGGAGACGGTGCTGGCCGCTCTGGGCGCAGCCGCCCGCGGGCCGGGGTCGGAGCCCGCCGCCGCCGCCGCCGCCGCCCTCTCCCCGGCCAACAGCGCTGCGGGCGTCTTCTCGGCCAAGGTGCTGGGGCTCCACGTGTGCGGCCTCTATGGCGAGTGGGTGAGCCGCACCGAGGGCGACCTGAGCCAGCTGGTGCCCGGGGGCGTCTCCTGAGGGTCGGTACTCTGTCCCACCTCTGTGGCTTCCGATTCTGTCGCTCCATCTGTGTGTTCTTGGACTGTCCCCATCTTTCTGCGTTGTATGGTCTCTGTCTGTCTCTTTGGATCTTGTCTCCTCAGGGAGCTTCGTGTGCCTACCAGTTTCTCGTCTTTTCCTCTGTCTCGAATTCTTTTGTCTCTGAGAGGTTTCTCTCTCTCTCTCTCTCTCTCTCTCTCTCTCTCTCTCTCTCTCTCTCTCTCTCTCTCTCTCTCTCTCTCTCTCTCTCGTTCCTTGTCGCTTGCTCTTTCTTTCTTTGCTTGCTTGTTTGTTTTTGAGACAAGGTCTCACTCTATAGCCCTGGGTGGCCTGGAGCTCACTATGTAGACCAGGTTGGCCTTGAACTCGCAGAGCTCCCCCTGCCTCTGACGCCCAGTTTTCACATCTGTCTCCCCATGGTCCATATGACTATGTGTAACCCTGAGTTTCATCTCATGGAGGTGACACTTTCTCTCCCTTCAGTTCCTTTGTCCTTTCCTAACTAGAAAAGTGCCTGCTGGTCCTGTGGTGGCAAGGCCACCCATCTCCAGGACCATCTCCCTGGTGTCCTCCCTCCTTCCACAGGTTCTTTTGGAGCCCTGTCCTTCCCTTTCTTCCCTCCGTACCCTATTCCCAGTGACCCCAGCCCTAGCCTGGTCTATGGAGAGGGAAAGGCAGAAAAACATCTTAAGAGATTAGTTTTATTTGAGAATAAATTAATTTTTGTAAATAAATGTTTAACAATAAAACCACAGTTTAATGAAACACAGTTGTTGCACATGGGGAGAGGGATCTGAGGAGAATAGGATCTTTACTGTACAGGAGGTCCCTCCCCCTTACCCACAAAGGCACAGTACAAATAAATTCATGAAGAGCCCAGGCCAGGGCTACCATTTGTCAGTCCTGAACACAAAATGGATCTCCTCAGCAGGAAACAGAGGAGACATGAGTCCTGGTGGCTGTGACTGGACACTGAACCTCTGTCCACTGGGGAGTTCAATAGGAACTGTCGATGAAGAGGTAGACTGAGGGTAAGAACTTCAGCCAAAAGAGGCCTGTGTCCAGAAAGGTCACGTCTTCACCTAGGAATTGAGGTAGACAGAGACAGGAAGCCAGCCCCTGGTCTTTCTCAAATACAGGAAGAGGAGAGTCAGGACAAGCTCAGGAGGTAGACCAGCTGTCCTCTCCCTAGGGTGGGAAGTAAAGCCTCTTCATAAGGGCTCTTCTTTCCAACCAGGAAGCAGAAATATCAACACACCACTGGTTTGTTGATCCATCAAACGGGTCCATGGAGTCCTGCCTAGATCTGAAAGCGAGTCTAGTCTCTAGGACCTGGCAGGAAGACCCAGGCAATCAGGAGTGGAGGCTTGGCTTCCAGGAAATAGTCCCAAACACTTGTCACAGGAGTCCTGACTCCTTAGTGACGCGTGAGGCATTCTCCATCTCAGAAGTAAGGCGGGAATGAGTCCTCTAAAGAAAAGCCCTGGGACTTCTGACGGAAGGACGACCTTTTATGCTGGGTACTTGGCCTTGAGTAGAGCCAAGTCTCTCACGGCCCGGTCTGTCCAGTGACCATATTCCCGGGTCACTATGTAGCCTCGACATTTCCTTTCAAAGGCTGAGGCCCCAAAAGGGACAAGCCCCAGAGTATCCTCTTCTGGAGGGATGGGCAGCCCTAGAGCAGTCATGATAGCAGCCATGTTGCCCAGTAAGCCTTGGGCCCTGAGTCTCGCCGCTCCTAGCTGGGCCAGCAGAATGGAACTGCCAGGATTCAGATCACTCTGGTCGTCCCCCACAAGCTGAAGGTGCTGGGTCAGGGCCAGGAAGCCTCCCTGGGCTCGGCTTAGCCTCTCTGCATCATCCATCGCATGCCAGGTCTTGAAGGGGACCGCAGCAGGAGGCAGGCTGCTGAGCTGGAGTTCAGGAGCTGAGAAACCAGGGTCACTGAAGGGGCTACCCTGGTACTGGAGCTGCATGAAGGACAGATAAATAGAAGTAAAGTGGCTGAAGGAGTTTCTGGGTGCACATCTTCCCTCTGAGACTGGCATTTTCCCAGAGGAAGTCACCATTCACCCTTTGGGAGCTGCAGGAATAAGCAAGTGTACTACAGCCTCCCTTTTGTCCTTTGCACCAGCTGGGCCTCCATGAATCGCAAGAACCCACAGCTCTGCATGGCAGTGTTGTAAAATGAAGAGTATCTGACATGCAATAAGGTGAGAATATCTATCATGTATGAATATCAATGAGCAACATGACTGTGTTCAGTCCGAGTACATTACTAAAATGTAACAGCTGATGTTTCTCTTTATTTTTTTAAACAGGGTCTCTCTGTGTATCCCTCACTCTCTATCTGTATATAGCCTAGCCTCAAACTCACAGAGATCCGTCTGCCTCTCTTCCCCTGTTGCTAGCATTAAAGGTGTGAGCCAACACGCCCAACCTAGAGCCTGGATTTTGTAATCATAGTGGCGTAAAGGACCACTATGCAGTGGAAGAGTTGTAAACTCCAGGGTCTCAGGACCAGGCAGGTATGTGATTTAGGAAGGGACAGGGCTAAGAGGAGGTCAAGTTTCGGCCAATGGGGTCCCTGTCCCTGCTACTGGAAATGGAAACCAGCCCCACATAGGTCAAGCAAACAAACATCCAAGACTCAGAAAGCAAGCTGCCAGTTTTACCTCTAGACAATGAGTAAGTGTGGGTGGGGGTGGGAGCTTCTAGAACGGAGTTCACAGACCTGCTTCCAGACACTGGCATTGCACTCACTAGCAAGTGCCCCAAGGCAAATTACCTACCTGTCTACAACTCCATGTTCTCACTGTAAAATGGACTCTAGTCCCACCCTCTCGGAGAAGTTTGAAGGGTGGTTCCAGAAGAATGACTACCTGAAGTTCTAGTTAGTGACAATACAAGTGAGTGTGTCTTGGCTAAGAGCCACCGCACCCCCATGCTCACAAGGGGGGGTCTCTTGGACGGCTCTGCTTGCCATATGCGGGCCGGCCCCCTCCCCCAGAGCCCTGCTCTTGCCCACTCACGTAGGTCTGCAGCAGCGTCGACGTGTTCTTCTGCATGTAGAGAGCCAGGCTATAGGCTTGACTGATGGGCTCTGATGGGGAGATGGGGGCCGCAGGCCTGAGGGGTGGCAGCAGGGTCAGTAGGCCGAGGGGAGCTGGCACAGGACATAAGAGGGTCAGCATTAAGTCCCTGGCCCTCTCATCATTCACTCATTCCAACAAGGCCTTCAAAGAGGACCACGTTTGTGGCCTGTGATGTCTTGTCTGTTCAAGTCAGAGCAAAATGACCTGGTTGGCGGATAGTTTCACGCCCAGAACTCCCCTTTGAGACAAGGTCTCACTGCATAGCCCTGGCTGTCCTGGAGCTCACGATGTAGACCAGGCTGACCTCGAACTCACAGAAATCCACCTGCCTCTGCTTCCTGAGTGCTGGGATTGCAGGCCTATGCCACCTTATGCAGTTGTGGGAGTGTTTTTTATCTGAATAGTCATTAGAAATGTTCCCTTTATGAAAACCCATCCAGCTGTACCAGACTACCTACAAGTATAATGTGTACCTTCCAGTACATTTGTTACTTTCAGTAAAAATTTTGAAACATCCGGAGAGATGGCTCAGCACTTAAGAGCACTGGCTGCTCTTCCAAAAGACCCAGGTTCAATTCCCAGCACCCGCATGAGGGCTTCCAACTTTCCTTCACTCCAGTTCCAGGAGATCTGATGTGCTCTTTGGCTTCCTCAGACTCCAAAAACAATAAAATTAAAAACAACAACAACAACAAACTTTGAAAAAAACAAAACAAAACAAAACAAAAGATGTTCCCAGAATCTAATCACTTCTGTCCTTACCACCTGTAACTCCTCAGGCTGAGCCATGTCACCTCCTCTCTCCCCTGGTCTCTGTTCCCACCTGGTAGCCCCCTTGTATAGTTCCTCCCATCCGAGCATGTCCCTCTACTCTTCAAACATCCCCATGGCTCCCTCCTGGTTCAGTGTAAATGGAAGTCCCCAGGTGGACTTCAAATGTTCTGTTCCCTCAGCATCTTCTCTCTATGTTCTGCCCACATTCCTCCCTCAGGACCTCACCCTTGCTTTGCCCCACAGGAACCCCCAAAACATTTCCAAGGCTGTTTCATGCCTGCTCTTCAGGCCTCAGCTCAGCAAAGCCTGACCCTCATAACAAAAGTCAGGCTTAGCGACTAAAGTCACCTGCCAAAGAAGGCTGGCAAGCTGAATTCCATCCTCAGAAGCCATGGTGGAAGGAGAGGACAGTGTCCTGAGAGCCCTCCTCTGGCCTCTTCATATCTGCACACACATCACACACGGCTCACACAACACTAATAAGTACAATATTAGAAACCAATGTCCCTCTCCTGATTTATCGTCTCTAGAGACCTGTTGCCTACAATTGCTTATTTGTTTATTTATTGACTTGTTGCTATCTCTCCCTACTGTCTCCCCAGGGAAGGGAACCCTTACCTGGTTCATTGCTGCCCCCATACATTAAGTATTTGTTGGGTGAATGTAGCAACAATCTTATTTCCAGGCTCTCTCTCTCTCCATTGAGCTATATAATCAGTATTTATTTAATATCTTGGCTAGCAGACCAAAGGGTTTCATTGTAACACACACACACACACACACACACACACACACACACACATACACTTTATTCTTAGTCACCCTCTCCTCTCCTTTCCCCCCTTTTCAAGGTTTCTTCCCCCAGAAAAGCCCCCTCTGTTTTCCTATCACACACATCCCACGACCTTCTCTTGTCCCCTCCCCGCAGCCCTCTTCCCTCCTCTCATAACCCCCCTCTTCTACGTTCGCGTCCTGGACATACAAATTTAAACTCAGCTTCCTCATATGAGAGAAAACATGCAATATTTGTCTGAATCTGGATTATTTTGCTTAACATCATGATCTCGGTTCCCTTCATTTTGCCTGAAAATATTATGATTTCATTCTTCTACAGCTGAATAAAATTTCATTGTGTGTAAGTATCACATATTTTTTTGTCATTCATCTGTTGATGGACACCTAAGCTGGTTCCAGATCTCCTGGCTGTTGTGATTAGTCCTGCAAGATGAATGTGCAGACCTCTGCAGTACCCCAGCCTTCTTGGTTTTTGTTTGTTTGGCTTGTTTTTTGGTGGGTTTTTGTTGTTGTTGTTTTGTTTGTTTGTTTTTTTTGGTGTTTTTTTTTTTTTTTTTTTTTTTTTAAGACAGAGTTTCTCTGTGTAACAGCCCTGGCTGTCCTGGAACTCACTTTGTAGACCAGGCTGGTCTCAAACTTACAGAGATCCGCCTGCCTCTGTCTCTCCAGTGCTGGGATGCCTCTCGATTGCTGGGTATTAAAGGCGTGCGCCACCACCCACCACCTTCTTGTTTTTTGAGATAGGGTCCAGCCACGCAGCACCAGACCTAGTTTATGCGGTGCTGGAGATAACCCCATGCAATACAAGTATTCTCCCAACTGAGCCCGGCAGCCCAGGCCCTAGCTTTTCATGTTTTGTTTTCACAGAGGGTCTCACTAAATGCTCAGGCTGGACCTAAATTTTCTTTCTGTCCTCCTGCTTCAGCCTCCTGAGTAATGGGATCGTGTTGATTGTTTTCCATCTGAATATGTGCTGACAAATTATCCTCTCCAATCCCTGATGCAGCTCTCGCTCCCATCAGCAGAGTGAGGCTCACCCACCTGGGCAGGAGGAAGGTGAGTACAGATGGTCCCCTTAGTTATTCACATCCCTAAATTCAGAACCAATTAGGAGAGAACTGAAAGTAAGCAGGGCACAGTGTACGCCTTTAATCCCAGCCTTAGGGAAGCAGACAGGTCTCTGAGTTCTAGATCAGTCTGGATACATAGTGAGTGAGACCTGTCTCATTTAAAAAAGGAAGAAAGCCGGGCGGTTCTGGCGCACGCCTTTAATCCCAGCACTCTGGAGGCAGAGGCAGGCGGATCTCTGTGAGTTCGAGGCCAGCCTGGTCTACAAAGCAAGTTCCAGGAAAGACGCAAAGCTACAGAGAAACCTTGTCTCGAAAAACCAAAACCAAAACCAAAAAAAAAAAAGAAGAAGACTGAGAGTAGAGATGCTTTTGTCATTAATTCAACAAGTGTGAATGAGTTCATTTCTTCTCACCTACCATTATAATTTACTTGTTTGTTTGTAGACTGGATCTTGTTATGTAGCCTAGGATGGAATTTGTTGTGTACTCTAAGCTAGCCTCAAACTCACCATCCTCCGGCCTCAGCCTCCCAAGTGCTGGGATTACAGGCATGTACCAACCCCCCAGGGTGATTGATTTCTGTGTTGCTTGTGGCACAACTCTGACAAGGTGGTCACCATCACACTGTGGATGTCAGTTCCCTTCCGTCTATCCCAAGTCTCCAAACAGTACAGTTAGCCCTCTGTATCTGTACCCATGTATCCATGCAACTGCAGGTGGAAAATTCCTGGACATACAAAGATTGTTTTCCTTGCCTTATTTCCTGAACAATACAACATACCAGCTACTTAGACAGTATTGACATTGCATCAACTGTTATAATAATCTAGAGGGGGCTCTAAAGTATACAGAAAGATGTGCATAGGCGGTAGATAGATAGATAGATAATAGATAGATGGATAGATGATAGATAGATAGATAGATAGATAGATAGATAGATAGATAGATAGAATATCACATTTTATATAAGGGACTGAAGCATCATTGGAGTTTGGTCTCCACTGAGGAAGTCCTGGAATCAATCCTCTGTGGATACCAAAAGACAACTGTACCAGCACATAGTGGGGCTTCAATAACTACTCCTCGAATGGCTGGTGAGTAAATCCTTCTTTTTTTTTTTTTTAATTCGGAGCTGAGGACCGAACCTAGAGCCTTGTGCTTGCTAGGCAAAATCCCCACTGAGCTAAATCCCCAACCCCGAGTAAATCCTTCTATGTGTAAGGATGTGCAAGTTCCCAGCAGATGCATGGGGCACTGAGACTGAGCAGCAGGAGGCAGCTGGTGGAGCCTCCTTCCGACCTGCTTTCTGGACCCTGGTGCCCTGTACCCTCACTCACCCAGCAGGCAGTACATGTTCCCTCTTTGGCTGCTTCCTCTGCAGTCTCTGGGTCTTTCCAGGGCACCTGTCCTCCTGTACCTTGGGTAGCTTTATACCTGGGACTGAGCCCTAGAGCCGCCCAGGAGGGAGGGGAGCTACTCCCCTAGGCAAGGAGGGCAGGCAGCAGACAGGGCCCTGGCAGAGAATGAGACAGACCCAGCCAGGGCACAGAATAGAGAGTTTTGAGAGAGACCAAGGTAAGGGTATATATTCCAGGCCAACCAGAAGCCCCAGGGCGAGGAATAGTCAGTGAAGGGGACACCAAGGTGACAACCTAGACCCCCACAGCCCCCAAACTTGACCTTAAACCCTGGTGGTTGGAAAGGAGGGGGCAAGGGCGGGGAGAGGATTATGGGGGACAAAGGGGCAGCCCTGCTCCCTGCTGCTCTGCACGTCTTGGGATCCAATTTCCCAGGAGGAGGCCGCCCCCTGCTCCGCCCATGGGGACCCAGGCATTGGGCCCTGGCTTTCAAGGAGTTTGGAAAGGAGCAGGAGGAGTGGTTTGGGAACCCCATGACCCACACCCAGGTGTGCCCCCGAATACAGCAGCTTGCCCTGGGCCGGCAACTTCACATGTTCATTTGCTCAAGTACTCGTGGACCGAATGCCGTCCCTATTCCAGGTGCTTGGCACAGAACGTGGGACAGATAGGCCAAAATCCCTCACAGGCATGTCTATATGCACATATCACATACCCAGAGTCCTAGATAGACAAGGACTCATCTGCGCAGATGCACAGCGATCGATACACAAACACATCCCCAACACCTGGAATCCCACCCAGCTGGAGCACCTACATAGTGCAGATAGATGTCCCACATCTCATGTACCGCTGTCCGGGATCCCCATCCAGCCACACCTCAGTCTCTTAGGAATGCCTGTCCCTCTACCCAGTATACACAGACACATGTACAGGTGACCTCACTGCATTCTCCTGAGACCCTCCCCCTCCCTGGAGATGTGGGGGAGGGCTCCTCCCCCGAGATTTAGGGGCTTGTCCACCATGGACTGATGCCGTTTCACTCTGTCAGAGTGTGTCAGCCAGATGCTCGTCCTCACTCCCTTTAGGGTGGGAGGACAGTTCACCCCACCTCCCCTGGTAGAGAGCAATGTGGACAGGAAGTCAAATTCATTCCCAGCGGATACAGTACAGCACCTACTGTGAGAGCTACCGCAGTAACAAGCTGACAGGACCTGATGTTTCACACAGGTATGATAGCACATATTTATAATCCCAGGACTAAGGAAGCTAAGGAAGGGGGGAAAAAATCTTGATTTTGAGGCTAGTCTGGACTGTCGCAAAATGAAATTGAGTAAAATAAAACAATCCAAGGTTTCCTCAAGTGACAAGTGGCCGAGAAGCCAAAAGGATTCAGAGTGATTAGCTGGGGTGGGGAGTAGGGCAAAATCAACTAAGGAGCCCAAGGTCCAGAGAGGGGTAGTTGCTTACCTGGAATCACACAGCAAAGCCAGGCAAATCCTAGAGCCTGTCCCCAGCTTGGGGTGGGAGTAGGTATCCCAGATCTGAACTGTAGACTGAGCTAGGAAGGAGGTTGAGGACACAGACAGTTCTGAGTAGGGGGTTTCTAAACAGTATCTCCAAGGATGGGGGCCGCCAAATTGGCAAGTAGGGCCAGTGATAGGTAGGCGATGATGTCAGGGGATTAAGGAAGGCCCATTGAGTGGGTGCACTGAGGCGTGGGCCAGGGCCAGCGGAGGAATAGAGCGGGAGCGGGAGGGAAACAGATACACGATCTGCACTACTCACAGGTGAAGGTGTACGTGGGCCTCACCCAGGAGGGAAGGCCGGCCCCCACCAGCCTCACCACTGCCCCATCAAAGGGCTCATTTTCCCCTCAGAGCTGGAGGGTGTAACTCCCACCTCAGGGCCAGCTCTTTTTGTCCGAAGTGACTGTCTTGGTGTTGGGGAAGATCAGCAGCCCTGCCACCCTGTCCCACCCTGTCCCACCCTGCCCCGTGGTCTCACTGTCTCTGCTGCAGTTCTGGGCTCACCAGAAGCCAGTCCCTTGGTGATCCTAGCAGTTCAGAAGTCAGTATGTTCAAAAGTCCTGCCTGTGTTCATCACTGGCTTGAGAGAGATAATCTCTCTGAGATTTGGTCTTTCCTTTCTTCCTCGTTTGTGGTATTAAGAACAGAACTCACGCCAGGCTTGGTGGCACACGCCTTTAATCCCAGCACTAGGGAGGTAGAGGTAGGAGGATCTCTGTGAGTTAGAGGCCAGCCTGGTCTTTTTTTTTTTGTTTGTTTTGTTTTGTTTTGTTTTTCGAGACAGGCTTTCTCCTCTGTGTAGCTTTGCGCCTTTCCTGGATCTCGCTGTGTAGACCAGGCTGACCTCAAACTCACAGAGATCCACCTGCCTCTGCCTCCCGAGTGCTGGGATTAAAGGCATGCGCCACCACCGCCCGCAGCCTGGTCTTGATAGTGAGTTTTATTTGCAACACAGAAAGACACTGCCCAAAAGAGAGAGAGGAAAGAGTTGAATCCAGGCCCTTTCCTGTGCTAGTCAAATGCTCCTTCACGAGTTACATTCCTGGCACTCCACTTGGTTTGTTTTATTTTTAAAGACCTGGGCTAGAGAGATGGCTCAGAGGTTAAGAGCACTGGCTGGTCTTCCAGAGGTCCTGTGTTCAATTCCCAGCAACCACATGGTGGCTCACAACCATCTGTAGTGAGATCTGGTGCCTTCTTCTGGCATACATGCAGACAGAACACTGTATACATAATAAATAAATTTTGAAAAAAAGACGACTTATTTTTATTGTTTGTGTACAAGTACGTATGTGCACACATTGGTGTAGGTGCCTGTGGAGGCCAGCAGATGGCGTAAGTCCTCCTGTAGCTAAAGTTGCAGGTGGTTGTGAGCTGGCTCTCCAGCCTTACTTAGTTTTTTGTGTTTTGTTTTGTTTTTAAAGACAGGGACTCATTCTATAGTTTAGACTAGTCTCAGTCTCCAACTCAACAATTCTCTGCCATAGACTCTACAGGGCTGGGTTACAGGTGTGGTTTATGCAGTGCAACAGATTGAACCCAGACCTTTTCGAACACTAGACAGACACTCTACAAATTGTGTAACACCCCAGCATCTCATGAAAGTTGTCCTCTGACTTCCACTTGCATGTGCATTCAAGCATAGACCACAGAGAGAGAGAGAGAGAGAGAGAGAGAGAGAGAGAGAGAGACAGACAGACAGACAGACAGACAGAGAGACAGAGAGAGACAGACAGACAGAGAGAGAGAGACAGAGAGAGAGACAGACAGAGAGAGACAGAGAATTAATTCTGGTGGTTATTTGACTTTTTCTTTTTCTTTTTTCCCCCTTCGAAACAGCATTTCTCTGTGTAGCTGTGGCTGTCCTGGAACTTGCTTTGTAGATCAGGTTGGCCTAGAACTCCAGAGATCCGCCTGCCTCTGCCTGCGTGCTGGAATTAAAGGTGTGCACCACCACAGCTATTCTTTAATGTGGACATTGGCTTGGGCCCTACATATACTAGGTGAAGCCAAAGTTGGCATTGTGCATCTCCTCCTGAGAGAGCAGCCCGTTCAGTTCACCGAGGCAGCATTCAGCACAAGGTGCGGAGCACAGACTC